TCCTGCCACACAAAGATCTGAATATGAAAGGAATTATTTCAAATTTATTCCAATACTCTGAAATGTAGACCAAAGAATTTACAGCAGTTTTGAAGCTTAATATTAGAATAGAATAATAACAATATCAACAAGAATAACATTCATTTACCTCCTGCATGCCAAGTACCTGCATTATCTATTTAGGTTTGCACAAACATGAGATAGACATCCCATTTATGATAGTTGAGAGCTTTGAATTTATGTCATACTCTTGTGATAGAGGCTAGGAAATGTTTTATTTGCTTGAGTATATTAACACAGCATATAATTAGGGTTTTATTAGCAAAGAATAAGGAGGAGGAAAAATAATTGTTAGTACTCTGTAGCCTCTGTTGTATCAGTCACCCATCATTAACAGACTTTTCTATTTTATTAAATGGCATCTTCTCAAATTTCCTACATCTAGGAATCTTCTGTTTCATCTTATCATATTTTTTATGAAAATTGGTATATTTTCTAAAACAAAATAAATTTAGTGATGAGTGCATTGTTTTACTTTAAAAAAATCTCTTTAATCTCTGGCCTGCTAAAATATAATGCAGATATTTTCATATCTGCATTTACATTCACTCTGTTGTGATGTGTTGTATTCTGATTGAAGTGTATAAAGAAAATCTGGCTTCTTACAGATATATAGTTGAAAAGGGAGGATAATTTTAAAGAGTTTTCATACAATTATGGATGTTCTTCTCTGATTTTCCCCCAAATTAAATGAATAATAGGTTCTTTACAGTTAGATGTAATGTAGAATTTGAAACCATTGAAATGAATTTTCTGTCACTGCTTCATTAAAATCTATTGTTCTGTCTTGCACTTTGGTTTTGTAACATCATGTATTGCTTATCTGGAAAACAGTTGTCTACTAAATTATACAGTTCTTCCAAATGTTGATATATATCATTATAAAATACTGAAGCGATGCTAACATCATCACTGATCTTATCAGGAATGCCTTGGGGATCTGTTAAGGTCACAGTGAAAGACACAAATTTACAAAAATTATTTCATTTGCAGCTCAAGTCTTATCCTTGGTAATAAATACTGTCAGGTGTTTTCAATGAAGTGATAGAGTCATGTCATTAATTTTTGAGATAGTATCTGATAAATAGTCAAGTCTACATGACTCTATATGTTTTCCAGCCAAACTTTCAACTAAATTGGTGTTTGATGAAAAATTTAGCTACTTTAGTTGCAATTTAAAGTACTTTTTCATGAGGCAACGATGGTACTTTGGAATGCAGCATCAGCTCTTCCTGCATTCTTACTGTTTCTTTATAGATTATTAAAAATTTGTGTGTTCAGGGTCAATATTTTCTAAAATTCATAAGCTTTAGTGTTTATCAAGGACATTTTTAGGTTGAACTAGATTTTTGTTTCTTTTTTGTACTGACAGTGCATGATGGTAGACAATATAATGACTAATAGTATAGTCTGGTGTTATGGCCTTAATTCATATGATGGCAACAGTAGTTTAATCCCATTGTTTTTACATCATTGGTGCAAATGTCAACAGAACGAAAAAGACAAATACAGTTTTAATATTATTATAAAAGTAAAAAATATGTAAATTTGACACATACAAAAAGTAAAATAAATTATATCTTGACAGGGGTTGGCAGATAGTACTTTAAAAATTGCTGACATAGGATTTGAATTTTCACCTAGAAGGAGAAGTTGTGTGGGTGTGTTATGTATGTGTTTGAGTTCAATTGTCTCTCAGTATCCACAAGGAATTGGTTTCAGGATCTCCCACTGGCACCAAAATCCTAGGACGCTCAAGTCACTTATATAAAATGGCATAATATTTGCATGTAACCTATGCACATCCTCGCATATACTTTAAATCATTGCTAGATTACTTATAATATGTAATACAAAGGAAATGCTGTGTAAATATCTGTTATAGCTCTTTGCACAGGGCCAGTACATGGCAAGTTATCAATATATTTTGGCTTATCATTTGCAGCCACAGTAGTAGATGAACTTGGCTCCCTTGCTGGCTTGCTCATTCAATTTTTCAATAAATATTTTTATCAAGCCATCTTTCATTTGCCAATCAGTACGCTAAAAGAACAAAATCAGACATTGTGCTCACTTTTCAGGATAAAAAGATTTTATCACTTTTAGGGATAAAAAGATATTAATCAAAAAGCACACATATTCATGTAAAATTTAAACCCTGACAAGTGCCATCAAGTAGAGATACATCAGATGCTTCGAACTAGTCAGATAAGTGAGAGAAGGCTTCCCAGGAGAGAAAATGACTTTCAAGCTGATATCTGAAGGATGTGAAGAATTACCCAGGGCAAGGTAGCGGGTGAGAGAGTCTGTTATTCCCATTTGTGCTCTTACAAGAGAGTACTACAGACTGAGTAGTTTCTAAACAATAGAAGTTGATTTTGTCCATGTTCTGGAAGCTGGGAAGTCCAAGACGGGACCACATCTGGTGAGCCCCTTCTTGCTGTGTCATAACATGGTGGAAGGCATCACTTGTTGAGAGAATCTGCGCGCTACATGTGACAGGGCCTAACTTTGTTTCATCACAAATCCATTCTTGCAGTTACAGATCCATTCCTGTGATAATAGCACTAATTCATTTATGAGGGCAGAACACTCATGACCTAATCCCCTCTCAACATTGTTGCATTGCAGGTTGTTTCCAACACAAAACTTTGGGGAGCACATTCAATCTATGGCAGAGAGCATTCCTTGCAGAGGAATAATTGTGTGTTAAGGCCCCACAAAGAAGAATGGAACTGAAGAAGATATAAGGGTCTGAAGGGAGACTAGTGGGCCAGACTTAAGAGCTCAAAAGGGTGAGGTTGGAGAGGTAGTTTAGTTTTACTTAATTTTAAAGAGTTTTTCTATTTGCCAAAGGCAAAGAACTTATATCGAGAATGGCCCCATTTTATACTAGCAAAGCTATGAACCATAAATCTGCTTTTTGAAAGAAAATAAAATTATAAATATAATAAAGGTTTCTTACAAACCAGTATTTATTTTTACATACAGTCTTGTTTTAAGATAAACTTCTGTATCTCTATGTACAGATCAAAAACCAAAATGTTCCTCTGTGGAAAACTTTGGACCTTATCCAGTAGTTGACCTATAATGGCTGAATTTCTGTTGAGTGTAAATTTATGTATATAATGGGTTTAAATTTTTAAGAGAATAACTGAGTGATTTTTGTAATCTGTGAAAATGAATTGCACTATCATACTTGGGTTGTGAAAAAACTATACAAATGGTAGATTTATTTTTTTTATATTTTTGGGTTTTATGCTATTGCTTTATTATTTTTTACTTATAAAAACAAGCATTTGTTTCTCACAGTTCTGGATGATATGAAGTCTAAGATCAAGGTGCTGAACTCAGTGTCTGGTGAAGGCTTGTTTCCTGCCTCATAAGGGCATCTTCTTACTGTGTCTTCATGATGGAAGAGGGAAGGCAGCTCTCTGGGATCTCTTTAATAAGGGCTCTAATCCCATTCATAATGGTTCTGCACCATGAGCACACTCAGGCCACAGCACCTGAAATACTCGGTGTTCTTTGGCTTTGTAGACACATCATTCTGATTTCTGCCTTCATCTTCATAATGCCTTCCTCTGTGCCTGTTTCCTCTTCTGTTCCTAGAAGGGCATCCATAATTGGATTTAGAGCCCACCTTAAATCCAGGATAACTTCATTTCCAGATCCTTAACTAATTACATCTGTAAAGGCTGTATTTCCAAATTAGGTTTCAGCCTAAGGTTTCAGATGGACATGAATTTGTGTGTGGGACAGACATTAGTCAACCCCTACAATGGTTCAATATCAAGTTTCAATATAACGAGGTATCTTGTTCTGGCTCTCTGTCCAGTTTCATTCACTGTTTTTTTATTCTATTTCTAAAATTATAGTCAAACTTAAAGTGCTAACATTTTATACCATTCCCATTGTGACATTTTCTCCAAAAAAATTTTACATAGGAAGTTTGTGACTTAAATATTTCTTTTTTCCCCCCATTTATTTATTTTATTGCATTTTAGGTTTTGGGGTACATGTGAAGAACATGCAAGATTGTTGCATAGGTACACATGTGGCAGTGTGATTTGCTGCCTTCATCCCCAATCACCTACATCTGGCATCTCTCCCCTTGCTATCTCTCCCCTACTCCCCACCCTCCACCGTCCCTCCCCTATTTCCCCGCAACTGACCCCAGTGTGTAGTACTCCCCTCCCTGTGTCCATGTGTTCTCATTGTTCAACACCCACCTATGAGTGAGAACATGCGATGTTTGATCTTCTGCTCTTCTGTCAGTTTGCTGAGAATGCTGGTTTCCATGTTAGGGCTTTTTCAAATTGGAATCACTAGAAAATTTCATTTCTATATTTAGAACTGAAATAATTTCATTTCTATATTTAACAATTTTTTGCATCACAAACTTATTTGAGCTTGTATTTTAGTGCAAATGACTACATGTATAACCATTACAAAGCTATCCCTGTGTAGGGAAAGTACTTTGGCCTATTTAGAAACTGGTAGTACTCTGATAGTGTTCTACTTGCAACCTGTCTGGTTTGATTTCAGGAAAACAAGCTGAGAGAATATTAAATCTCATATGATGAGAACTAAGAGATATCAATGGATACTCTATTGGATATTTCCCTCTTAGTGGTTTTATTGTTATGGATTGGTAACTGCATTGATCAAAGTAAAGCTTATTTCTCAGTAATTGAGATTGTATTCTACACATCAGTGTTTTATGCTTTTCCCATTATAGACAGTTTTAGGTAAGACTTCTTTTGGAGTCTATTTTAAACAACTTAGCTCCAGAATAGTCTTGTGTCTTTTCTTCTAGTATTTTTTTCTTTGAGTTTTTTTAATTCATTGAATTCCTATTTTATCTTTAGGCAGACTTTTGAACATATTCTGATCATCTGGCTAATTTAACATGTTTTTCTCTTTCTTATTTAATTTAGGGAAAATAGCCCACAAAGACATAGACTACTCTTTCCAAATGAGTGAGGTAAGTTAAATATATATGTATTAGCTTCCTTATAAATCAGAATAAAAAAATCAAGATAAGGTTAACTAAGTCTTTGTACTTAATTACTTATAATACATTCTATTTTGTCCTCTTATTCATTTTTTAGTAGCTAAAGCAAGATCCATGTTCCATGCAGATTTAATATTGGATCTTTTCTAGATGTTATAAAGGAACAAACAGATGTTTGAATTTGTTTTGAGGCTCTGTTTGAAATAAACTCAGATATGCTGAGCATTGATATATGAGATACTAGTATTTGGCTTAACATTTTGCTATAATGTAATGCAAGCGTAGTCTATGGTAGCTTATTATTTTACAGTTATTAGTATATGATTAGTGCTTATTTATGACTCTACTGGGGTTCAAGCTGAATTGTATAAACACATTAGATAGAACAATAAATTAAATACAACTCGTAAAAATTCAGAATTATTTTAACCAAAGGCCTTCTTATATTAATTGTCCAAAAATACAAACAATTTATATTGGCTCTATAATGAATATAAGCATGTTAAAGGCATTTCAATGAAATAATTTTTCTGATAGGCTCTAGTTGATACAGAATCCTATGTGTAGCTCTCACAGAGGTAGATATCCTTGAATGGTTTCAGGATGTCTAGACAGATGTAAACAGGGTTTTAAAAAATTTCCAGGAATGACTGAAATTCCTGCTTGGACAACACATCCTTCTAGAATAGGTTGGCTATGTGCTAGTTGGCTGAATAAGCTCATTAAGATTCTCAGAAGTTATAGAGTTCCTTTAAAAGTTCAGTGACCCACTAGTCAGAATGGCTATTGTTAAAAAATCAAAAAATAACAGATGCTGGTGAAGCTGTGGAGAAAAAGGATTGTTTATACACTGTTGTTGGGAATGTAAATTATTTCAGGCATTGTGGAAAATGGTGTGGCAATTCCTCAAATACCTAAAGATAAAAATACCATTTGACACAGAAATCCCATTACTGGGTATATGCCAAAGGAATGCATTATTCTTTTATAAAGACACAGGCATGTGTATGTTCATTACAGCACTGTTCACAAAAGCAAAGGCATGGAGTCAACCTAAATGCCCATCAATGACAGATTGGATAAAGGAAATATGATACATATATATTATGGAATACTATGCAGCCATAAAAAACAATGAGATCATGTCCTTGGCAGAAACATGGATGGAGTTGGAGGCCCATTATCTTTAGCAAATTAATACAGGAACTGAAAACCAAATACCACAGATTCTAACTTATAATTGGGAGCTAAATTAATAGATCACACAGATACATAGAGGGGAACATCACACACTGGGGCCTTTTGGAGGATGGAGGATGGAGGGTGGGAGGAGACAGAAGATCAGGAAAAACAACTAGTGGGTATTGGGCTTAATACCTGGAGGATGAAGTAATCTGTACAACAAGCCCTCATGACACAAGTTTACGTATGCAACACATCTGCACTTGTATCCCTGAACTTAAAATAAAAGTTAAAAAAGAAATAAAAGTTCAGTGACCTAAATGGTGAGGGAAATAATATAAGAACCAGGGGGAACTATGAAGATCACATAGGACAGCGATTTTATAGTGTTTGCAGATCAATATATAAAAAGGAATGAGAATGTACACGAAGAATTTCTGAAAATTGTAGACTCTTGGGCTCAAGCTGAGACTGCTAAATCAGTATCTTTGGGAATAACCTCAGGGGGCATGACTATAAAAAAAAGTACTCCAGGTGACTCCTATTGCCACTAAAGATGAAAACCACTGTCATAAAGAAATGTTGCCACAACTACAGTGAAATCGTGTGGCACAGAATACATATTTATTGAGTGAGTGGGTGAGTAAAGACAATTATTTGGAAATAATGTATACGAAACATTAAAGTTTTCATGTCTTGGAGTGGACTGAGGAAAGATTCATTTCATAAGATTGATCCAGCTTAAATGATGGCAAATATGTTGTCATTTTCAGTTTGCTTATATTGGCATAATAATAATGTGCTCCTCACAGATCTTTAGATGTATGATCATGTTAACTTCAATTACAGTACATGTTTTTTGCTTCTGTACATCTTTCACATTTATGTATATTCCAGGAATAAGCTTCTAGAACACAAAAAGAATTTCATCAGGTCATATGTACGCTGATTCTTACCTATTTGTACGTTTCGAGAACAATGGTTAGTGCATTCTTGACTTCAAGCTCAGGTTTTCACTTGAAACAATTTTCCTCAAATTTTAAGGCTTCATGTTTTAGCTTGCCAAATTGAGAAATTTATTTAATTAAATTTAAATTATAAACATTTCAAATATATAACTTCTAGGCTTGTTTGTTTGCTTGTTTGCTTTTAATTTTGCTTTATAAGAAAGCAAGTGACAGGTCTGGATTCATTCTGAGAAGAATAGCACTGTCATACCAAATTCCTATTAGACTCAACCTATAGTTAGGTTTAGCATGTCTTTTTCAATATAAAGGACTTTGGAGTAAAACTGACATCTCTCTGAAGCAAAAACAAAAATTGGCTGTTAATGTTTAGAATTATTAAGTAGATATATTATTATTGAATTAATTAGTTCAAAAGTGAATGCAGCTCTTGCTTCCAGAAAGCTGGAGCAGAGGAAGTTTTCCCTATTCTTTTTGCTACCTATGGCTGAAACTCCTGGAAAATAAAACAGAAATATCGACATAGGGAATAAACAGAAAACAAAAAAGATAAAATGGCAGAGTTAATTCCTAATACATCAAGAATTTCATAAAATGTAAATGGTCTAAGCACACCAATTAGAAGGCAGATTTGCAAAGTAGAGCAAAAACATGATAAATGCATCAAAAACCTATGTTATAACAAATCTATGCAAACATTAACTATAATAAAGGAGTGCTACATTAATATATGTAAAGTATACTTTAGAGAAAATAAAATTACCAGGGCATAGTGGGACATTACATAATGATAAAGGATCTATCCAACAAGACACATAGCAGTATTAAAGGTGCATACAAAAAAATAACAGTATCATAATATGTTAATCAAAAACTAAGAGTAAAGAAAGAAGTAATATACAAAATCTATAAATATAATTGTATACATTAGTATCCCTATAAATGGAACAACTAAATAGAAAACCAGCAAGGACATGGACAAACTCAACATCATCAACCAATAGGATATTACTGACATTTGTAGACTACTCCACCTAACAACAGCAGAATACACATTTATTTCAAATGATGATAAAATGTATACAGTATTAGTTTGTTTTTACCCTGTTATAAAGAACTGTCTGAGACTGGTAAATTTATGAAAAAAAGGAATTTAATGGACTCACAGTTCCAGAGGTCTAACAGGAAGCATGATTGGAAGGCCTCAGGAAACTTATGACAATTATGGCAGATGGTAAAAGGGAAGCAAGCATATTAGCCAGGCATGGTGATGGTACCTGTAATCCCAGTTACTTGGGAGGCTGAGGCAGGAGAATCTCTTGAACCCAGGAGGCAGAGGTTGCAGTGGGCCAAGATCGCACCAGTGCACTCTAGCCTGGGTAACACAAGTGAAACTGGGTCTCAAGCAAGCAGTGAGCCGAGATCGCACCATTGCACTCCAGCTGGGGCAACACAAGTGAAACTCTGTCACAAACAAAACAAAACAAAACAAAACAGAAAGAGAGAGAGAGAGAGAGAGAAGAAAGAAAGAAAAAGAAGGAAAGAAAGAAAGAAGGAAAGAAAGAAAGAGAAGGAAAGAAAGAAAGAAAGAAAGAAAGAAAGAAAGAAAGAAAGAAAGAAGAAAGAAAGAAAGAAAGAAAGAAAGAAAGAAAGAAAGAAAGAAAGAAAGAAAGAAAGAAAAAAGAAAAGAAAGAGCAAAACAAGCCCAAAGCAGGTAGAAGAAGGAAATAATAAAAGCAATTGAAACCAGAAAGTATTAGAGAAAATCATTGAAAGCAAAGGCTCTTTCTTCGGAAAGATATATAAAACTGACAAACTTCTAGCCAGACTGGCAGAAATTGGGTTGGGCTGGGACATATATGACAAATATCAGAAATAAAACAGGATATATCAATATGGATTCTGTAGATATCAAAAAGATAATAAAGGAGTACTACTAACAATTCTACACACATAAATTTGACAACTAAGATGAAATGGACCTATTCATCAAGAAGCACAAACTATAATCCACTCAATATTAAAACAATAATTTGAATAGTGCTGTAACTACTAATTAAACTAATGCATAATTTAAAATTCCCCTAAAAGACATCTCCAAGCTTAAATGGTTTCATTGGAGAATTCTACCAAATGTTTAAAGGAGAATTAGCATCAATTTTATACAATCTCTTCCAGAAAGTAGAAGAGAAACAAACACTTTCTCAATTGATGTCAGAGGCCTACATTACTTTGGTACCAAAAGAGACAGTTAAAAAATGAAAATAAATTCAGTAATATAAAAATAATTATGCACCATGACCAGGTGGGGTTTACTCTAGTCATGCAAGACTCTATTCATGTTGTTTTATGTGTGGAGGGGACAGAGTCTTGCTCTGTCACCCAGGCTAAAGTACAGTGGCACCATCTCCGCTCACTGCAATTTCTGCCTCCCAGGTTCAAGCGATTCCCCTGCCTCATCCCCCGAGTAGCTGGGACTACAGATGTATGCCACCACACCCCCAGCTAACTTTTGTAATTTTAGTAGAAATGGGGTTTCACCGCATTGGTCAGTCTGATCTGGAGCTCCTGACCTCAAGTGTTCTGCCCGCCTTGGCCTCCCAAAGTGCTGGGATTACAGGAGTGAGCCACTATACCTGGCCTCCATTCATTTTTTGAAAAACAATTGATATATGTCACCAAAGGCTAAAAAATAAAAATCATGTGATTTTTATCAGAAAAAAATATTGTCAAAACTTAACTCTATTTACTAAAAACAAACACAAATTCTCCGAAAACCAATAATAGAGAGGAACTTCTTTAACCTGATAAAGAACTCCACACAACAGTTACAGTAACATTATATTTCATAGTAAAAGGCTAAACACCTTCCTAAGATGAGGAACAAGCCAAAATGTCTTCACCCTTCTCATTAAATTGGGAGCTAAAAGACAAAAAAGTAAAATAAAAGGTATACATATCAGAAAGGAACAAATAAAACTCTTCCCATTTCCAGATGACGTGATGTACATAGAAAATCCCAAGAAATCTACAAAATTAAAGACAAAAACAAAATTTCGTAGAACTAAATGAGTGTAAGAGGGTTGTAAAAAATAAGAAAATTGTATAGAAATCAGTTTATATTTCTATACACTAGTAATGAGCACATGGAAACCCAAACTGCTATACAAGTTAAAATCTCTGTACAACATTTCATAGACATAGACAAGATTATTCAGAAATTTGTATGGAAATACAAAGGAAGTAGAATATGATTGTGACAAAAAGAAGACTTTTATTTTAAGACTTGTTTTTTAGCTGTAGTCTAATGAAGACTGTGTGATATTTGGAGAGGGTTAGGCATGTAGATTAATAAAGCAGAATAGAGATCCCAGAAATAGCCCCATGCATGTATAGCCAAATGATTTTGGACAAATGTGCAAAAGCAGTTCAATGGAACAAACAGGCTGGAACATTTCTATATTCATAGGCAAACCTATGAACTTAATCTAATGTTATACAAAAAATAATTCAATATTGATCATAGATTAAATGTAAAACATAAAAGTATACAATGTTTTGAAGAAAAAAATGAATCAAACTGCCTGGAAATCAGGTCTTGGTGAAGAGTTTATAGACATATTTGCAAACAAAAACATCGTCTATTAAAGAAATGCATTGATAAATTGGAGTTTATCAAATGTAAGAATTCTTGTTCTGTGAAAGATTCTGTTAAGACGATGGACAGGCTACAGACTGGGATAAATATTTGTATATCCTGTATCAGACAAAGGACTTGTACCTATGATTCATGAAGAACCCATAAAATTTCAATATTTTACAAAAACAAACTGCTCAATTAGAAAGTGGGCAAAATACATGTTGAGATCTTTCACTAAAGAGAAAATGTGATGGCAAATAAGCACATGAAAATATCTGCAGTATCACTAGCCACTAGAAAATACAAAATAAGATCAAAGTGAGATGTAAATATATGCCTATTAGAAGAGCTAAAATATAAAATAGTGACAATACAAATTACTAGTGAGGATGCAGAGAAACTAGATCTCTCATACATTGCTGGTGGAAATACAACATGGTACAATCACTCTGGAAAACTGTTGAGCAGTTTCTTAAAAAACTAAATTTTCATGTCAGTTGGGTAATTATACTCTTGGGCATTTATATGGCGGAAATGTGAACATATATTCAGACAAAAAACTAAACAGATATTCATAGCAGCTTTGTTTGTAGTAGTCAAAAGTGGAAACAACCTAAATGTCCTACAGCAGGTGAATGGTTAACCAAGTGTGGCACAGCCTTATTATGGAATACTATCCCTCAGTAAAAGGAATGACCTATTAATAAACATAACTTGGATAGATCTCCAGGACATTATTCTAAGTGAAAGAAAAATATTAGAGGAACACATATGTTACGATTCCATTTTTATGACACTACTGAAATGACGCTATAAAGATGGAGCAAATTAGTGATTTCCAGGGGACATGGATGTTGTAGGGAAGGAAAGTGGATGTAAATTTAAAGGATTATCATGAGGGAGATCTTTGTGGATGGAATAGCTCTACACCTTGACAGGGCTGGCTCTTACCCAAATGTACACATGTGACAAAATGACTTTCAGCCATACAGAGCCATTTTACTCATATAAGCTTCTTGATTGTGATATTTTACTATGGTTATATAAGATGTAAATAACCACTAGAGGAGACTGGGTAGGGGTTACATGGGATCTCTGTGTATTATTTTGACAAGTTCCTGTGATGCTATATTTATTGCAAAATAAAAAGTAAAAAAAGTAAATACAACTTATTTCACTTTCTTCAATGCTAAATTATATTTCTCTACTGACACAATACAAGCTGTACACATTGCAGTCAATTTTTTTCACCCCATCTATGGACAGGAGGCAGTCAGTTTTCAAAAAAAATTATAATAGAATATTCATCAACTATTGGATTAAGGCAGAATTTACTAGAATCAATAATTTTGTCCATTAACAAATTTATAGATATGATGAATGTTTAGGCTTTTATAAGACAGAAGAATATGTAGGAATTTTAGGTCCATTATTTCAAAATTATTTTATACTTTGAAAGGGTCTTCTGTGCTTTTATGATTGCTTAAACATTTAAAAAGCTATTCCAGTTTTACCTCTGATTTACAATTGGTATGAGTCCATCATTGGACATTGTTACAATCTTTTTGGCAATCCAGAGAATGCATGTGAATTAAACATGGATGATATGATTAATATATTAAATTTATTATATGATCACTAGAAAGTAAGCAAATATTAATTTTAAAAAGCCAACATTTATTGTGAACTTCCCATGTATTATTTAATCTCACTGTATGGAAGTTATGGTTTAGAGAGGTTAAGTTGCTCAAGTTTACAAATGTAATCAGTTTTACATGTGTATTTAATGGGTTTTATATAATTTAAGAAAAAGATTATGAAGCAAACTGAAACTATGTAAATTGTTTTATTGTTAAATCTCCTATGTTTTGGAGCTGGGATTCTGAACACAGGTAATCTGATTCTAAAGCTTCATATTCACTGTAAAATAATACTTTAAAAATGCTGTTCTAAGAATCATGTATAGAGTATTTTTTTTCTGAATCTCCAAATTATTACTACTTAAGTTCAGAATATTTGGATGGCTATTCAGTTTCCATGATTATTTATAGCTCCTCTGAATTTTGCCATGTTTTATTATGAGTAGAAGTTTGTGTCAATGATCCATTTATTAATTTCATTCCATTTTGTACCATTTCAGTCAATTCTTTAATAGTTGGGGTCAGGGAAGGAGGCAACCTGAGTCATGAAGCCACAGCTACAGTAGAGGAGAATGTAGGATCGAGAACATCAAGGATTCTCCTTTTGCCTAAGACTAAGCTTATTAAGAAATGAGACTGATTCAGCAAAATGTAGAAGTAATCTAAGTTATTTTATTTTACATTCTGCAAAGTGAAAATATAACCACATCTTTTGCTTGGAAATCAGAGCAAGGATTTTTTTCCTAAAGGGAGAGACTGTAAAGTGACTGGCCTTGTTACTCTTGAATATAAGGTTTTCTTCTATCCTTCTATAAGCAAAATAACTAACATTCTATAACTGAAAAAGCTCAAATAATTGAAAAAACTTATCAGAAGTCAATATAAATGAAGCTATAATAAATTTATTAGCAGAAATGGAGCTGCGCAGTTTATTTTTAGAGGCTGTTGTTTCAGAATTGAGTGATCAAGATACTCTTTAACTTCATTTATTATCTGTTGTATTTAGATGAGCTAGTGGAATTAATTCAAGGCCCACAAGTAGATAGAATCACATATAAGTGGATTATAATTACAACTATATTTTGGGCCTGTATTTACTCACAGATTCTCAGTCTTCCCACAACTCTTCCCATCTGTTTCAGTATTACTTTAGTACAATAGATTGCATTCATCTTGCAATTTATATTAAATATATAGTAGCATGAAAATTGTATGTTTTCAAAATTCAAAATTATCTTTCATTCTCTTTTAAAGAACACAGAGAAATTACTGCTTTTGTGGCACATTCTATTACTTTACTTTTGTAGCATTGGGTATATTTCCAAGGTGCTCTTTGAGCATTTAAAAAAATATGTCAATAGCATGTTTTATCTGCTATTTTGAAAACTGATTTTTCCCAGCATTATGTGGGCATAATGAGATGCTAATTTTGATTTTTCCAAGAACAAGGTAAGTGAATTCCAATCTGTACATGAATTTCAGATCATTTCTGTTAGTTGCTGTCTCTCCATATGTTCTATTGTACCTGTCACTAGAGACTGCTGAGAAATGATTGGGTATTATCTCAGGCCTGTGTCCTGTTGTGTGTGGACCATTGTGTAACCTGAGAAGTTGGGAATCTACTGTACACAGAGGGAAGCATCGTTATTGCATTAATTATAAATGGTTTGTATGTATTTTATACATGTATGGCTTTTTTTGGAAAGGTTATACATTCAAATTCTTAAGAATCCTGATGGTGCATTTTCCAAGGTATTCCCTTTAATAATTTCAAATATATATTGAAGGGCATAAAATAGCCAATTAATTCTGCCCTTCCTGTTGGGCCTGTTCAGGATGCAGTATCATAAAATGATAGACTTCCTTGTTATTTCTTTATATAGAGTAGTTCTTAACCATTTCTTGTATCCATTTTTTTTTCATGATTTTATAAAGTTACCTCCCAAATTCTAATTCTTTCTGAAGGTCACTCTCTCCCCTCACTTTACAGGCAAACACATCCTGCCCCATGGGCACATTTACAGATACATACCAGAAATACATGAACACACATGCATGTGTATACACATATATATGTCCACAGTTTTGCATATGATTTCAGTTGGTTCCAGGTTAAGTGTTTCTGCGTAGAGAATATAGAGTTTTTGTTAGCGAATCTTAAAAGCTCCCTTTGCTCCACCTGCACTATTAATAACAGAATTATATCTTCCCCCGGTACTGTTAGCAGAGCCTGAGCAGCAGAGAGACCAGCTTTCTCATCAACGAAGAAACAATGGTAAGCAGCGATCAGTACTATCCTTTCTTGCATGGACACAAATGGGGCATCTTTTTGTAGTCTGCAATGGTGATGCTCTTTTTCACTTCAGTTATTTGACATGCTCTTCTACATGGTATTTGAGAATGTATTACTTTAGGAAAAATATTAGTTTCTGTAGGCAAAAAAAAATAACATCAGACATATCAATGAGAATGACACACTAAGCATAACACTTTGCTTGGATTTTATTTTTTTCCAGTTTTACAAATGAGAAAATGAAGGGTCTAAGAGGTGTAATGAGATGACTAAAGTTATCCTTATGTTTAAGGTGTTAATCCTTTACTAGCATTCAAGTTTCTGAGGCTTAGTTCAGTATTCTTTCTCTATTGCATCACTCTTCTTGTCTGTATGTACATGTCTGAGGATGATCATGAAGAAGTACAATTCATTTAAAAATCAAACTTAAATTATCAATTAAAAGGTGAATAAAGGGACAAAAAGTTTTCATTAGTTTCTTAGTAAGTAAAAAATGCTGTTTGCGAAAATGGGGAAATAGAGTTACATTCTTATACTGATAATTTTAACATAGATGATAGTTTGCTTTTCACTACGGTACTAATATTTAGTATTCTGGAATGAGGATTGTGAAATTGATCAAATTAAAACAATTGAAATGTTGTTGGCTTGTTTTCTCTATTTATTTATTTTTACTTTTTTTTTTAACCATGTAAAGCATTTACATGATTCCAAAGTTGAAATCCACAGATCAAGTAACATTTAGATGAGCCTAAAGCTTACACAATTTTGATATCACTCTTTAAGAAACATATGAAAACATGTCTTACTTTAAAACATTTACAAAAATATTTTACCATAGGAACACATTGCTAGAAGCCTTCTTAAACCCTTGCAAGGGGCAGATGCAAGTAAGATCCCCTGAAGATTAGGCTTTATTAGCTTGAAGGTAAATCTATTTTAAGTTGAAAATATGAAAGTGTTTTCAGAGAAATCTTTCTTCTTTCTGCTCTCAATCCTTTTGTATAATAGTTACCATTTTTGTTTGGCTTATTTTCCCAATGCTATTACAAATGTTGCTAAAGTGGGGAATTCTTGTATATTTTGGTCATTATATTTTTGGTCATTTTATATTTATATTTTGGTCTTATAATATTTTGGTCATTTTATTTTTTGACATGGAATTTATTTATCAGAGAAAAAAGATGTATGTAATTTTGCCATACGTTGCCAAACTCCCCTGCCTTTTGTATTTGTAACAAATATATGAGAGTGCCTGTTTCCCCACAGCCCTATCAGCAGTGTGTTGTTATGCTTTTAGATTCTTGCCTGTCTGATGATAGTGGGATAGATAATGGCTATTGGGAGCTATTCCACTTAGCACAGTATCTTAGTATCATTTAGAATTGCATTTCTCAAAATATGTGTGAGATACTCATCTTTTTCTACATTGAGTGGTCATTTAAATTTACTTTACTAGATCACTCTGTTTATATATCTTGTCCATTTCCTGTCAGTTAGGTTTTTCTTTTATATATATATATTTTTTTTTTTTTTTTGCAGCACGTTACATATTTATCTCCCTGCCTGTGATAGAAATTGCAGATACTTTCCCCAAATATGTGAAATACCAATAATTTAATTTTATATTTCTAAATGACTTGAAAATGACATATTTGATTCACTATATTACATTATCTTTGGTTAAACAGTTAGTTGTTAAAACAGTAGGCTTCTTTTTAAAAATAAACTATTTTAATATAGTTTTAGATTTTATTATAAATAAAGTCTAAACAGAGTTCCTTATATCCCACACTTATTTTCTCCTGTTATTAGAATCTTACATTAATTTGGTACATTTGTAACAATTAATGAACCTATATTGGTGCATTATTATCAAATAAAGCTCATGCTTTATCCAGATTTTCTTAGTTTTCCCCTAATTCTTTCCCTATTCCAGTATTTCATTGAGGATGCAGCATTGCATTTAATAGTCACGTCTCCTCAGACTCCTCTTGCTTGTGACAGTTTCTTATACTTCTTTTGATTTTTATATCCTTCACAGTTTTGAGGAATACTGGTCAGGTATTTTGTAGAATGTCCTTCAATTGGGACTTTCCTGATTTTTGTTTTATGATTAGACTGGGATTATCTGTTTTTGGAGGAAGATAATAGAAGTATCATTCTCTTCATTGTCATATCAAGGGTATATTCTATCAACATCGCTTTATCACCCTTAATGTTTTAACCTTGATTACCTGGCCTGAGGTTGTGTTTAGCAGATTTCTCCACTGTAAAATTATTCTTTTGTTTCTTTCTCCCTTTCCATACTGCATTCTTCAGAAGAAAGTCACTATTTGGAGCCTACAACAAAAGGATTGGGATTATGCTCTCCCTTCTTATAGATGAATCAATTACTTGGAATTGTTTTTTGTATGTCGGAGATCTTTCTTCCTTCCTTTTTGTCAGTATGTACTTACGGATGTTTATTTTATACTTTATGTTATAAACCAAATACTAGTTTATTTATTTTCTTGCTTAAATTGTTCTAGCTTTGGCTACTGGGAGTTTTTGTTTTTGTTTTGTTTTTATTTAGTGACAGCGTCTTGCTCTGTTGCCTAGATTGGAGTGCAGTGGCATGATCGTAGCTTACTGCAGCCTTATACTCCTGGGCTCAAGCAATCCTCTCTCACCTCAGCCTCCCTGAGATTACAGGAGTGTACCACCACACCCAGCTAATTATTATTATTATTTTTTAATTGGGTCTCACTGTGTTTCTCAGGTTGCTCTCAGTTTCCGGGCTCAAGCAGTCCTCCCACGCAAGCTTCCTGAGTGGTTGGAATTACAAGACATAAGCCATATCAGTTGGCTGGGAGCTTTTTAGTTGACTTGTGTATTCCCCTGACATACCCCTATTATTATTATTGTTATTATTATTATTTTAGTATTGTTTGGAGTATTTTCCTACTTTCTGACAAGATGCTCCAAGCTCATCTTGAACATTTCCTGTCACAGTCCTATAATCAACTGTGTCTTCATTAAATTTATATATATATATATATGTGTGTGTGTGTGTGTGTGTCTGTGTGTGTGTGCACGTGCATGTGTGTGTGTGTGTGTGTGTGTGTGTGTGTGTGTGTGTGTAAATATCACAAAAGAAAAATCTGTATAAATCAGGGTTCTGGTAGACCTACTTAGTGTAGGATAGACTTTTACAAAGATGGAGTGTAAGAGAATCTCAGTATGTATAGGTCTAGCAATCTTTAATTTATTAAAATCCATAGAACTGAAGGGAATAGGGGAAGGAACACTTGTTGGAACCCAGAAGGAAAACATCATATACTGAAGACATTATCAAGAGGCTCAGTGACCATTAGTGAGGGGACACAGCCTTCCCTAATTCAACCTTGGGAAGGAAAACACTCTTACTCTTTCCAATCATTTGTGAGAAGCAAGAGGTCAAGGGAGCTCTTCGTTGCCTGCACAGGGCAAAAAGCAGGGTGGAGAGTAGGGGAGAGGGAATGTGCTAGGATAAACCAGAGGAATATCACTGGATGTGTTTTCATGGAAAAAAATGGAGTCTTGTGGTTTCTACTCTGGTTTCTACTATGATTATTACGATAGATCCTCAATATAAATTATTTTATAAATATAGAATAATATAATTTTTAAAAATTTTGATATAAAATAGTGAACAGTGGACTTGACTGAGTACCTAAGTGGTTACACAGATTGTCAGTATAGAAAGGTCACTAAGGCCACCAAATAAAATATAGAAAGATGGAAACTATTATGCTTAAGAGAACTATCTTAAAGTGACTACTGCAGAGGATTAGACAGAATAGTTTCGTAAGTATTTAGAGTTTGGTAAGCAAAGAATGGAAATTGAAAGGGCACACTAAAGGTGATTAAATAATGACAGGTATGCAATTAGCAGATTTTGAAGGAGTGTGGGCCTTGTTAACCTCAGGGATGATATTCCAAATACTTAATAACTGATATGGCATAGGCACAGACCAATCAGAAGGAATCTTTGAGTAAAATGACAAGAAGCAATTAGTATGAATATAAGCACAGTTTTTATAATTGACCTGTGCATATATTTAGATATTATTACCTTATGATTCAGTCATTAATTCAGTCTCCTAGTGTTTTCATCCAATTTCAAGGCTTTAAGTACAATTGATATGCCATCTCAATTCTCAAGTTAAAGTTTTGAGCATAATCATTGCTCCTCAGTTTCACTTTTAAATAGCCAAATGCTTCTTGAAATATGAATATGGATGTCTAAAAGATATCTAAAGATTAATAGATCCAAAATGTAATTCTGGATCTTCCCCTACAAAAATAATAATTAAAAAAACTGCTTGTCTGAAGTCTTTCTCATCTCAGCAACATGCAGTATATTCTTTTAGTAGCTCAAGTCAGAATTTTTAAAAAGTTTTCCCCTTCATTGATTCTACATTGGACACAAATGCATCTGTTTTAAGTGTGTAGTTTGATGAGCTTTAACAAACTGTAATTTATGTAGAAGATTTCCATTACCTCAAAAAGGTCCCTTTAGCGATTTTCCTTCTACCCTATTCTAGGCAACTACTGATTTGTTTTTCTTTCTAATGTAATTTATAAATGGGATTTTACAGTATACACTGTTTTGTATCTGGCTTCTGGCTGCTTTTGCTTATTATAATGTTTCTAAGACTCATCCAAAACTCCAAATATTACTAATAAGTTGATTATTTTTGAATATATCTGTATTACAGATATTATTGTTTATTTTATTGTTCAGTAATGTTTCATTGTATGGATAAACTGAAATTTATTTATCCATTCATCCATTCATAGATATTTGGATAGTTTTCAGTTTGAGGACCATTATGAATAAAGCTGTTATGAACATTCATGTAAGAACTGTTTGTATAGATGTATATTTTCATTAATCTTGGGTAATTTCTTTGGAGTAGAATTTCTGGGACCTGTGGAAAATGAAGGTGTAATTTTATCTAAAACTGTCACACTATTATTAAAAGTGATTGTACTATTTTTTATTCCTACCAGCAATGTATAAGGGTTCTAATTGCTGTACATCTTCACCAACATTTGATATTAATACTGATATTGATATTGATAGCTTTTTAATTTCAGTAATTCTAATGGATGAATAATAGTATCTTGTGATTTCAATTCTCATTTCTTTTATAAATAATGATATTGCCCATCTTTTCATGGGCATATTGGACATTCATAGATCTTCTTTTGTGAACTATTCAAATCTTTTCTGCATTTTAAAAAATTGAGTTGATTATCTTTGTATTGACTTATCAGAGTTGTTTATGTATTCTGGATAGAGGACCGTTGTCAATCTTATTTATTGTGAACATTTTCTTTCAATTTGTTTCTTGCCTTTTCATTTATATACAGTGATTTTTAGAAAAGCACATCTAGAAGTGCAGAAGTTCAATTTGTCATATTTTGTCTTTTATCATCGATGCTTTTTGTGTTCTATTTAAGAAATATTTTCCTACACCAAACTAGGGGAGATTTCTAAGATTTTCTTCAGTTTTATGGTTTTAGTTTTTATGCTTAGGTCTATGATCCATGAAAGTCAAAATGTGGCCCTGCATGGTCCTTTAGTATAGTACTCTTTTATTTCTCTTAATAATTCTTTAATGAATTTAGGGAAAACACCTGAGAAAACCAGTAGCCTGTGAATCTCATGAAAGATACCAAGAAAATAAAAATACTGAGGTGAAAAATTTCAGGCCATCAGGATAATATAGTTTAAAATATACTTTATGCAATGACCAACATTTGCCTTGTATCTTTTGTGTTTTAAATAACAACAATATTAACTCCTGTATCAACAAATAGAAAACATTAGTTTACAGGGCAGGAATTTTCACCCCAATAGTCACCAGTTGCTTAGGCTTCTTCATCATATTCCAGGAAGAGACTAGTTTAAGTAATTGTATTGGATTATTTATCTATTCGTTACACTATAAAATACACACAGTTCTTGCTCTTTTATGCAATAGGTTTGGTTTTCTTTCAAATATAGTTGAGTATCCCAGATATTTTTAGGTAATTGCCTTCGTATTTTAAATAATGAACACATAATTGAAAATTGGAGACAACTCAGCATTTGAATAATTGAATAGCTTTTTATGTATTCTAGTATATTGCATGCTCATATGCTCATGAAATTTAAAAAAAAAAAAAAAAAACTTTTTTAAACTTTTCATACCACACATCATCCCAGTATAAATGTAGTAATTTTACTTTCTTTTTCTGGTATATATAGGAATACTTAACAAAAAATACCTATTTTATTTTATATTCTTATTTCCATATTTTCCTTCATTATTATTTTTTTCTCTCTTCTCTCCCTTAATTATATCCTTTGAAGAAACATGTATGGAGATGGAGGCCATTATCCTTAGCAAGCTAACGCAAAAACAGAAAACAAATACTGCATGTTCTCACTGATAAGTGGGAGCCAAATGATGGGAACACACTGACACATAGAAGAAAACAATACACTGGGGTCTTTCAGAGGGTGGAGGTTGGGAGGAGGGAGAGAATCTGGGAAAATAACTACTGGGTACTATGCTTAATATCTGGGTGATGAAATAATCTGTACAACCAACCCCTATGACACATATTTCCCGATATAACACAACTGCACATCCTGCACATATACCCCTGAACTTAAAAAATTTGAAATAAATAAATAAAATCTAAATCCACAAATATTATTATTTTTAGTCACTGTTTAAAGAATTTAGGAAAATTTGCTGTGAATTCTCCTTTTGTTTTTTCTTTACATGTTTATTGCTTTCTACCCATTTTTTCTTCCTTTTTCCTTGGTAATTTCTATCCTCCAGCTTGAAATATCTCACACACACTTAGAAAATAATCGTACTGAGGGTTAGTCTGTTTGTGTCTGTTTTTTGGAATCTTTACTGTAATTCTGGGGCAGGATTTGCTAATTCTCTATTGGTTGCTTCACAGCCTGCAAAGCGATACAATTTGTTCCTGAGGCGGCGGCTTATGGTAAAACCAGTGCTGAATGATGCTGCTTATGCTCTGGGTGGCTGCAGTGGTAGCCTGAGTTATTTTTCTTCTAATGAATACTTTGATTTGGCGGAACTTTGTTACTGATTCCTAATCCCTAGGCAACTGAAGTTCAAGAATAGTGATTTTTAATTGGTTTTGGATTGGATGAAATCTATAGATCATCTTCCTAAAATGTATATACATACTGTATATACATACACTCACACACACACACACACACAATTCATATGGTTTCAGAGGTTTATGAATTCTCATCAGGAATTCAGGGTTTTGTTTTGTTTTATTTTCAGATAGGGTCTCATTCTATCGCCCAGGTTGGAGTGCAGTGGTGCAATCAGGGCTACTGCAGCCTCAACCTCCCAGATTCAGGTAATCCTCCTACCTCAGCCTCCTGAGTAGCTGGGACCACAGGTGCACGCCACCATGCACAGCTAGTTTTTGTATTTTTAGGAGAGATGAGTGGTTTCATCGTGTTATCCAGGCTGGTCTCGAACTCCTGAGCTCAAGCAATCATCTCATCTCGGCCTCCCCAAGTGCTGGGATTACCAGCATGAGTCACCATACCCAGCCAGTAATACAGGGTTTTGAACCACAGGATAACTACATCCTTTACAGAGAAGCCATTTCAGTTGTTTACATAATTACAAATAGGTATTTCTAAGGACAAATCTAATGTAAACACAAACAAATGCACACACATACTACAAAATATATTTATATCATGTTTTTAGCAAAACAAAAGCATCATGTGTTTTAGTAGTACTCAGTTATATTGACAGAATTATCAGATTTTTCTGCCTCAGCATTAACTGATTTTTATTAATAGTCCTAAGACATCAGCCTCATAGTGATTTACAAGGCTCCCAGTGATTTTTTTCGTATTTAAAACAGATTTACAGTTTATCATCAGGATATTACATAATGATAGAAATTTGGGTCTTCCTAGCTAGACTTTAGCTTTCATTCATGAAGACAGTGGGCATACCCATTTTTGGCTAAGCACTCAAGAAAATCATTGGAGTTACTGTTCTCTTAGCTACTTTGTCTATTTCCTAGTTGTCAGATACTCTGAATGTGACTTTTGTTAATTCCTATGTGCACATTTTCTGTCACCAGAACTGCTCCCTGTGTACCCAGATTTAGCTTGTGTAAATAAGTACCTGTATATATATTAATTTTTGAAAACGAAACAAAAATAACAAAAATCCCTCTTTCATATAAAATATGACCATCACAGACTTAAAGCAAGAGGATTACTTTTTCTCCTCTAATTTTTGAGCTTTGATTTTACTTAGCCTAAGTAGTATATTTTTTCTGCCTCAGCTGACTTCCAAGAATTTTAGTGAATTTCATAAGAAGCTAATGCTGTGATAATTTACAAGAGTGCCAGTGATTTGTTTTGTTTTTTCTTTCTTTTCCATTTTTAGTGATTTATAGTCAAAGTATAATGTTATAGCAGTTTGATTTTTCTCAGATTCTTTTAGGAAATAGGAGATTATTATCCTTTGGCCCAGGTGAAGAGAACTCAAACATAACATTTGAGTGACTGTGTCTTGGCACTTAATCTGTAGGTTTCCTGGATGTTTTTTTTTTTAAATTTTTTTGTTCCATTTTCCACTCATTTCTTCCTGTGCATTGGAGCTAGTTTTTTCTGAGACACATCAGCTTTGCATTAGCTGTATAAATGCACTTACTTTGTTCATAAACCACAGATCAAATATGAGGTTTATGGCTTATTTGCATGTAACTGATCTACATTCATTCCCTTTTCTGGGAGGCCTGTCTCACCTGACTTGGGTAAAAAATGCCATAGGGTACTATAAAAGAAACTCAAAAATTAATAGAAACAATGGTGTGAAAATTAAAACCATATAGTTACTCATTTGCACGTGAGCTAAGGCAATTGGAAAATTATCTCATTTACAGCCACTATATTATCCGCTTGCATAATTCTAAGTATAATAATACATGTAGGCCATTATAAGTATTAAATATTACATATAAACTTTGAAGAAAGCCAAATAAGTCATACATGGAATCTCTTCCTTCTGAAGCTCTCTAGTGTTTTTGCTGTTTTGAAAGTGTAGGAATTAATGAACTAACTATACAACATATGAAAGTTGAACGTGTAAGTGTGATTGTTATACTAAGAGAATTCATGCAAGTTTAAACAAAGGATTGATTTTTGCTCACCTGGGAAATTGATGTTGAAGGGTGAGTTGCATGAAACCTGCCTTGAGACACCAGCTAATAAGCTACCTGCTTTCTAATATTTAACTGCACCTTGATTTTATTTTAATCCTTACAAAGTTGAATTTGGAAGTGACAATTTTATAAAAACATAGAATAGACATTAATCATAAATTTATTTTCTTATAGTGAGACTCCATTAACTTGTCTGTAATTGATATTACCTCCAAAGTTGTGTGCAGCCATGAATTATATAGTGGACTAAGTGATATGTTGTTTAATGAAGATAACAAGTCTCTCTCTGAATATCCATTTTGGGATCAATGTATACCTGTATTCATTTCATATTTTGGCATATTTGCAGCATTTTTGTTGTATGTGCATGTAGCTAACATGCTTATCTTCCCCCTGAGTTATTATTTCTTAATGTTTTATATGGAATTTCACTTTATAAAACAAAGCATAATCTGTTGCTGAAAACTCTGGTTATTTGTCTTGACATGACATTTCAAGACTGAAAAAAAGTAACTGGTGACTAAATTATAAATAATTCCTTTTGTGCTTTTGTCATTTCAGAATAAAACTATAATTTAAAATTGTGTCATTTATGTCTCCTGCAGTTTCAAAGAAATCAGCAAAGCAAAGATTCTATCTTCTTTCGAGATGGGATTAGGCAAATTGACTTTGTGCTTTCCTATGTTGATGACATAAAGAAAGATTCAGAGTTAAAGGCGGTAAGTGCTGTCTAAGAAAAGTGGGAATAATAAAAAGAAGCACATTTTATAGTTTCACATAGATATCTGCCTCAAATTATGTTGTAAAAGTGAGAGGCCCTGATGTGTAAACTGAAAACTGAAACTGAGTAAGATAACTGTGAAGTAGGCAGCCTAAGAATAGACATGTAAAGTCAATGTTGTTTTTTGGATATTTTGCATACTAACTTCTTTTTCTTCTTCTTCTAAGTAATGGATTATTTTTATAGCTCACTTTAGATATGAAATGTAACTTCCAAAATTTGAGGTGTGTGTCTGAGTATAATAATTACCTTTTGGCCAGGCGCAGTGGCTCACACCTGTAATCACAGCACTTTTGGTGGCTGAAGTGGGTAGATCGTGAGGTCAAGAGTTCAAGACCAGCCTGGCCAAGATGGTGAAACCCTATCTATACTAAAAATACAAAAATTAGCCGGGCATAGTGGCAGGCACCCATAATCCCAACTACTTGGGAGGCCGAGGCTGAGGCAGAGAATTGCCTGAACCTCTGGAGGTTCAGGACAGGGAGGTTGCAATGAGCTGAGATTGTGCCACTGCACTCCAGCCTAGGTGACAAAGTGAGACTCCCTCTCAAAAAAAAAAAAAATAATAATTACCTTTCGTATGATATTTTTATTTTGGAAAGGTATGACTAATCCATTCCCCCGGCATAGCCTTTATATTGTGCTCTATTCCTGATTCTCTTTTATTTGTATTATAACACCTCACTTTATGAACTTACTTATTCATGTTTTTACTTGTTTGTGTCTCCAACAATGTAAATTAAGTTTCTGAGGTGAAGTAATTTGTCTTCTTCATTGCTGTATACCCAAATCCTAGAACAGTGATTGGAGTATAATGGATGCTCAGTACTCAATATTTGAAATCATAAATTAATTCATTTTAGACACACATGTATGTGTGTGTGCATACACACACATTGACTTAGGTACTTGAAAAATAAATGTTATATAAAATAAAAATAAAAAATAAAGATATTATTCCCACAAGATTCTGTACATATACAGGACTGCCCCTTTTCTCCACCCACTCCCTGGAAAGCCTTCTACCAGGCCTCTGAAATTCATGACCCATCATCATTTTCACCTCTTCTCTAAAAGTTCCCTTCAAACCTCTTTGAGGTTTGTTGCTTCCCCTAGCAAGGCTTTCAAGTGATGATTATTTTTCTTTACACAGTATTTCCCTAAAGATGGCGTAAATGCTGCTTGCCCTCCTTGTATCTTGTTGATTGTACTCTGTTCTTCACCTGTCCCTGAAATTTCCAAGCTTTAAATCTCATCAGATTTATTATTACCCTGCATTGTTTTTGTCATTTGTCTGTCTCTGGATCTTCTATTCCTCAACAATTTTAGCTCCAGAATCACTGTCAGTCTCTCCAGCAATCTTTTTCAGATCACTGATAATATCAGTTCATACTTAGATGATTATTTTGGCATTCTGGCCTCTCTGTTCCTTGACTTCCCTTTTCCATTGATCTAAGCTTCTACTCAGCCATTCACTCACGTAGAACTTGTCATTACTAATAACTGCAACTCCTTATAACCTCATTCTGTGAGAAAACTGTCTGACTACGCCTCAAATCTTTCTGACCCACATTCTTCTTTCAATCTCACCAGGACCAGATAAGATGCAATCATCTTAGTACATTTCAATGCTCTTATTCCTCTCTCAATCTTTATTCAGCCTATGCCTCATGGTCAACAATTGTAATTACTTTGTTGCATATCCAGTCAAGTCCCTTGCCCCTCTCCTAGTTGTACTTGACAAAACAACTTTAGTCAAACCAGCCCCTCCTACTACATGCCAGCACCCATACAGAAAGAAAAACTTACCATTTTTTTGGGGGGAAGGACAGCACATTGTGATTGATAGCCCCACTGGAAAGATGATGCCAAGCAGACTAAAACTGATGTCCTCCACCATCCATTCTTTCGTCAGCTAGCACACATTTCAACCCATACGCCCCTATACACTCTTTTTCAATCCATAAAACTTCAAAGGAGTAACCACCTAATATTATACAACTTTCCTATTTAAAACCAATAATACACTTAACTTCCCTACCCAAAAGTAGACTTCCTAAAGTGTAGCTCATGTGCGACATCTGGCTTTGAGGTCTTGAACTCTATATGAGTGTATTATTATTAATCGGTTATAGATATTCCTTCTCATGACCTGGCAACTCACAACTATTTTTTAATTTTTTTAAATTTTTGAGTCAGAGCCTTGTTCTGTTGCTCAGGTCAGGAGGCTGAGGCAGGAGGATCAATTGAGCCCAGGAGACCAAGGCTGCAGAAAAACTTAGAATTTACTGACTGACTTTACCTTATATTTGTGCCTATGGACCTCAACTGGGTCCTCATGCTGTGTGGGAATCATACTTTCCTTCCATATTCTGTTGTCTCCCATTCTCCTAGATGACTGTTTTATAACAGTTTTTCTCTTCTTACACTTCCAACACTTCTTCAAGCTTAACTGATCACGCTTTTCTGCTTAATTGAGAAAACTGAAGCAAGAAGAGAAAACCTATAAATTTCTACCACCACACCTGTCCATCCACCAGGAATTTTGCCTGTGTAAATTACCTTACTTTCTGTTACCATAGACAAACTATCCTTCTCCCTAAAGCCAACTCCTCCACTTCTGCCCTTGATTCTGTTTCTTCTTGCCTACTATTCAGGAGTGCCAGAGACAACCCTCAAATTTAGGCGTTCGTTAGAAAGAATCACAGGACTCAGTATATAGTCATGCTTATGGAGATGATTTGTTACAGTGAAATGATACAAAGCAAAACCAGCAAGGGAAAAAGCTCATGGGAAAAGTCCAGAGGAAACCAGGAGTAAGCTTGTAAGGATTCTCTCTCAGTAGAATCATAGGATATACACTTATTTTTTCCAGCAACAGTGTGTGTAAACACATGTGAAATAGCTATTGGGCAAGCCCATTACGACTAAGTCCCCTAGGTTTTTATTAGGGCTGGTTACCTTGTCGCCTTCTGCCTAGCACATACCAAAATTTCATACTTTCAGAAGGAAATCAGATATTCAGCATAAATAACACTGTACAAACAGTATAGGCAAAATGAGCCACTCTTATTGGGTCTGAGAGTGGAGGGAACTCTTCAGAAAAGCAAGGCCCCAGATACTGGAACCTACCTTTCTAAAGTTGCAGCAGGTCTCTCTAAGGTCAGCAGTTTAATGCCTGCTTTATTAGCTCTTTTCTGTATACCTATTTTGGGATATTCCTTGTAAAATTATTTCTTCTTTCTCCTAAATTATATTTAATATTCTTTACCAGGACATTTTCTTCAATGAACAAATACACTGTTAATTTTTCTATATTAAAAAAATTAAAACCCCTCTTTTTGGTCCCAGTTTTCCTACCAGCTACTGTTTCTTTCTTTTTTTTTTTTTTCTACTAAATTATATATTAAACCCATTCTTTTCAAGCCTTCATCCCAACCACTCTGCGCATCTTGTATAAAATCCAGTGGTCAAGCCTCAGCCCTCATCTTACTTTACCTATAAGCAATACTTGAAACAGTTGATCCTTCCCTTTTCGATTGTGTATGTTCTTCACGTGGCTTCCAGGACTCCACATTATCTTCGTTTTTTCTTATTTTACAGTTGCTCCTTCTCAGTCTTTACTTCTTCGAAATCTCTTATTATTGAAGTGCCTCAGGGCACAGTCCCTAATCCTCATCTTTCCTTAACTTACACTGATGTATTTTATCATTCTGTCTCACAGTTTTAAAATTATATATTTTATGATTTTATATGTATTAATCATACAATTCCAGAATTTACTTTTCCAGCCCACATTCCTCCTCCAAATGTGCATAACTAAGTGACTATTCTGCATCTCATACCTTCAATAAGGTACTGGTATAACAACAGACACACAGACCAATGGAATAGAATAGAGAATCTAGATATAAAGCTATGTATTTAAAACAAGCTCATCTATGACAAAGTGGCCAAGAGCATACAATGAAGAAAGGGTAGACTTTTTAATAAACGATGCTGGTAAAACTGGATAACTATATGTAGAAGAATGATACCAGACCCATATTTCTTAACATATAAAAGATCAAGTGAAAGGGGATTAAAGCTTTGACCTGAAACTATGAAGCTACTGGAAGAAAACACTGGGGAAATGCTCCAGGACATTGGTCTACACAGACTTCTTGTGTAAGACCAGGCAATTAAAGGAAAAATAGACCACTGGGATTATATCAAGCCAAAAAGCTTCTGCACCGAAAAGGAAAAGTACCCGTTATTTGATGAATAGGTAAAGAAAACATGGTAAATACACATAATGGAATATTTTTCAGCCATTGAATAAATGAAGTACTATCATTTGCAGCCATGGATGGAATTGTAAGCCATTATGTTAAGTGAAATAAACCAAGCACAGAAAGACAAAAGTCTTATGTTCTCACTCATGTGTGGGAGGTAAAAACATGGATCTCATGAAGAAAGAGTAGATTGGTGGCACCAGAAGCCAGGAAAGGGAGGGGGAAGAAGGGGGATGAAGAGTGGAAAACAATATAAATGTATTTATTACTACTTAACCTTACATCTAAAAATGGTAAATATTGTTAGTTTATATTTATATTTTAACTCAATAAATTTTTTTTTTAAAAAGAAACATACTTTTTTTTTGTCATCCATGCATTGTTTTAATAAAGACTGGGTGGGTGGTTCATACCTGTAATCCCAGTGCTTTGGCTGGCTAAGGCAGGAGAATCATTTGAGGCCAGGAGTTCAAGGCCAGCCTAGGCTAGATAATGAGACCCAGTCTCTACAAAAAAAGTTTTTAAAAAATTACCCAAATGTAGTGACACCTGCTTGTAGTCCCAGCTACTCTGGAGGCTGGGGAGGATTACTTGAGCCCAGGGGTTGGATGCCACAGTGGGCTGTGATTACAACACTGTACACAAGCCTGACAGAATGAGATCTTGTCACTACAAAACAAACAAACGTAAAACTAAGCACCCAAGTGATTATTTAGTATATTTCGGTAATGACCTATAGTTAAACTTAAGTTTATTTTTTGCTAATAGAAGCCATTTTGACCTTCAGGATTAAAAAGTCTTGATGACATACTGGCTTGAAATTCCATTAAATGTATAACTTATTTGAAGATTATTGATCTTTGTAATAGTGAGTCTTTTCAACTTGGAGCATATGTCTCTGTTTATAAAGTTTTTTTTAATTTATGTTATTCAGTAAAGTTTTGTACATTTCTTTAGATAGAGGCTCTGCGTATTTCCTGGTTATCATTTCTGGATACACTGCATTTTTGTAGTTGTTGTGAATTACAGTGCAAGAGAAAAGCAGTATTTGGCATTCAGATGGCGCACACTTACATATAACCATGCGAAGGGCAGAGACCCATCCAGAGTCACAGCTATTGCATATTGAATCTATTAATACTGAGCAAATAAAGCAAAAGTGTTCTACATAATTCTATTGGTTATTTTTGTTATAGGAAAGAAGAAAAGAGTTTGAAAAAAATCTCAGAAAAACAGGTCTTGAGTTGGAAATTGAAGACAAAAGGGTAAATATAGTTATTAATTTATACCACCCTTTAAGTATTGTTTTGTCCTATTCTGGCCTTTGACTGGACAGACTCTGTGCGGGCAATACAATAGCTCTTTTGGCTACAGATACGTGTAATAGGATGATAAGGCCTTTGTCGTACAGGTAAGTAGGTAAGTATTGTGACGATGTAATAATCAAACAGTTTATAATTGGACATAGTTTCCATAAAGAATTTAAAGAAAAAGTTTAGCCTTTTTCTCATAACAGTTTCATTATGAAGTCTTCCTATAATCTGGAACCCTAAATAATTAACCATGCTGTCCTGCAACATAACCTTCTATTTAAGCCAAGACGTTCTTCCTGTTCATGAATATGCCAAGTTTTCTTTTTAATCTCATTTTATTTACTGTTTTTCTACAATTTCATTCAAAATTGTTTTTAAAGGCCTATTTAATAAATCACCTTGTGTATGAAATTTCTAATAGTTCCAGCCTGGGCAACATAGCAAGATCCTGTCTCTACAAAAATTTTTTTAAAAAATTAGTTGGGCATGGTGCCTATAGTCCAGCTATTTGAGAAGCTGAAGTGGAAGGATTGCTGGAGCCCAGGAGTTCCATGGTTGTGCCACTGCACTCTAGCCTTGTCAACAGAGTAAGGCTCTGTCTTAGAAAAAAAAAAAGAAAAAGAAAAATGAAAGGATTACTCTCTCGTTCTCCCATTTTTACTGAACTGATAAATTATTATACCACACAATCCATAACTTTTTCCTATGTAATGAGCCTTCATTACCTAAAGTTCTTCCTCTTTGGGTAGACTATACAAAGAAGCTGGGTAAGAAGGGTGAATACATTTTGCAGTTTATATATATCCCTGATATAACCTAAGTAAAATTTTGAGTTTATAGGTTGTTACTAAGGACTTAAGAAATTGCCCAGAACTACATAGGTAATTGTAGATTTAGAGATGAGTATACACTGACCATGAAATACATTTTTAAAAAATATTCTTTCTCATTTGTGTGTGTCTTTGTATGTCTCTATCTCTCTGTCTCTCATATTTACAAACACATTATATGTATACATATATACATGTTTATGTAACTATAACTATGTTTTGTGAATTTTGTTTTCTCAAAGTTTTGCCTAAAAATTTCAAAAAATTGAAAATGCTTTGATGTGTTTGAGATTTTATAAAATATTGTCTCTTTTATCCAATCATCTCAGTAACAAAATGACCAGTGACGCTTTCTGCTATTTTGCCTTTTTTATGAAGGACTCTGAAGACGGAAGAACTTATTTTGTCAAGATCCATGCCCCTTGGGAGGTATTAGTTACCTATGCTGAAGTCTTGGGAATCAAAATGCCTATTAAGGAGAGTGATATCCCACGCCCTAAGCACACTCCTATAAGCTATGTGCTTGGACCTGTAAGACTCCCACAGAATGTGAAGTATCCCCATCCTGAATATTTTACTGCCCAATTCAGCAGACATCGGCAGGAGCTGTTCCTCATTGAAGATCAAGCAACCTTCTTTCCATCCTCATCAAGAAACAGAATTGTAGGTAGAGAGACCTTTGGGCACTTCTCTTCAAATACGAGATGTGTGCTTGTGTGTGCTTTGATACATGTGCATATGTCATACCATTTCTGCAAAGTGTTTTGTATAGGATATAAGCATTTGGTGATGTTGGGAATTTTGAAGGTATGATTGGAACACATAAACCTGTTACCCTCCCTAACTCTCACACTGTTGTTTAAATATGAGTGGTTGATGGTATGTATGTAGTAAAGAAGGAGATGTTATACAATATTGGAAAAAGAAATTAATCGAGACCTAGAGAACTTTGTAAGATCTTTGAAAATGATTTTATAGTTTTATACATTCAGTGCATAGTAGGGGAAATATTTATAATTCCAAATGGAAACAAAATTTTTAAATTTGTTTCTATATGGATAGAATTTGAGAAACCTCAACATGTTTTTTCCTTCATTTAAAACTATTTTCCACCTTCTAAATAGTATTGTTCCCTTTCCATTTGAAGTCCTAGGATCTTTAAGTTTCCTATTAAAAACCTGTCTCAGAAACAATCATGGTTTTGTGCCACTGTTTCTTTGCATTTAGACAGGAATAGTATCCACTTCATAGGTTACCCAGATAAATAAAGTAGTTAACATATAAGAAGGTTTGAGCAGTGCCTGGCATATACCAAGTGTTCAACAAGTGTTAGATATTATTATTGTTATTTATCTGACTTTCAGAGGGAAAAAAATAAGATTCTATGTTATTTTTTATAGCTTACTTATTTTTAAAAATATATGATTGACACATAATTGTACATATTTATGTGATAAAATATGATGTTTCAATACATGTATATATTATGTAATGATCAAATTAGGATGAGTAGCATATCCATCACCTTAAAATTTTCATTTTTCTGTGATGAGACATTTCAAAAACCTCTTTTCTTTTTATTTTATTTATTTATTTTTTATTGCATTTTAGGTTTTGGGGTACATGTGAAGAACATGCAAGATTGTTGCATAGGTACACACATGGCAGTGTGATTTGCTGCCTTCCTCCCCATCACCTATATCTGGTATTTCTCCCCATGCTATCTCTCCCCGACTCCCCACCCCCCACTGTCCCTCCCCTATTTTCCCCCGACAGACCCCAGTGTGTGATGCTCCCCTCCCTGTGTCCATGTGTTCTCATTGTTCAACACCCACCTATGAATGAGAACATGTGGTGTTTGATTTTCTGTTCTTGTGTCAGTTTGCTGAGAATGATGGTTTCCAGGTTTATCCATGTCCCTACAAAGGACACGAACTCATCCAAAAACCTTTTTTCTAGCTATTTTGATATTTTATTGTTAATGCTAGTCATTCTACTATGCAATAGAACCCCAGAACTTATTCCTTTTGTCCAACTATAACTTTGTACCCGTTGACCAATCTCTCCCATTCTTTCCTCCCCCTGCCTCTCCCTATTCTCTGCTAACCACTATTCCACTCTCTACTTCAATGACAACAACCTTTTAGATCCACATATGAGTGAGATCATATGGTGTTTTTCTATTTTGACCTTAATGTCCTCTAGTTTCATATTGTCACAAATGACAACAATTCATTCTATTTTATGGCTATATGTAGCCATAAAATTTATTTGTCTGTGTATACATCTTTTCTTTCTTCATTCATCCACTGATGGACATTTAGGTTGATTCCACATCTTGGCTGTTGTGAATAATGTTGCAGTAAACATAGGGTGGCAGATATCTCTTAGATATACTAATTTCATTCCCTTTAGTATATACCCAGTAATGGGATTATTGGATTATATGGTAGCTCTATTTTTAATTTTTTGAGGATCGTCCATATTGTCTTTCATAATGGCTGTACCAATTTGTATTCTCATCTGTAGTGTGTAAGGGTTCCCTTTTCTCCACTTCCTCTCCAACACTTGTTATCTTTTGATTTTATATATTAATCTAATCACCACGGTTCTAAAAATAAGATCCTTTTCCTTGAGATTACTTACTTTCTTTTCCTGAGGAATTAAAGGTCTGATTTCATTTTTTTCTAGTTCCTAAATAAATATTTTTAAAATTCACTGACAGGAATATTCAACAAAATGTAATTCCTAGAATTTAGCATACACATTCACAAACTAAAAATGTTCTCCCCTTTTATTTTTAACCAGGATTAAACAACAACAAAAACCTAAGTCAGGATTTGTGGGAATAAAGAGCAAATGACACAGAATCAGACCTTGTTTCAAGTCGTAACTCTGCTTCTTTCTAAATACGATGATTTCTCTTAAAACAAATAATGATAATACTGACATTATTGTGAAAATCAAATGAAATAATGTATGTAATGCAGTCTGAAAACTGAAAAGTATTTTAGAGATATTTGTTGCCTTGAAAAGTTGTTCATAAAAAGCCAATGAACTCATTGGAACAAATTAGGAACTTGATCGGGAATAGAAATGCCAATATTCATTTACCGCTACTTGTTCTTTGTAAACAGTGTCAATACCTTAGGCTAATTCAACCTTAAAGCACAATTTATCTTCCTTCATAGTGTAGCAACATTGTTCTTGCATTATTGAGGAAGAAATTTGGGAAGTTAATATAGAAAAAGTCCCTTCCTTTTTATCCTTATCCAGAACACTAGATTCCTTGGATATACAAACTGAATAGTATTACAAGAGCATCTTACATTAGTATAGAATTTCATACATTTCAAAGCATTTCACAACCATCATGGCATCTGAGCTTCACAATATATAGTATATATTTTATAGTCCATATATGTGATATGTTTGTGTATATACACACCAATATGTAGATTTGTATATGTGTATATGATGAATATATATGATTATATGTTTATACCTTTTGTTGTGGAAGAAGGCCAGACTTTTTAACATGAACAAAGCTCTAGATTTATCCATATGTGCTGGTAGACAAGCTTACACTATCAATATGAGATTTAAATTAAACATATGGTCAAGGAATTTCTATGTGTATAGAAAGAGAAACAAATAAGATATATCTAATTTTAATTGCAATGTCTTTCCTTAAAGCTAGAGAACTAGTTTTTATAGGACACCAATGCTAAATTTCAGTCCATTTATAGGGAAAATTTTTCATTTCACTAATAATACGTAATATATGGATTCATGTCAGTATCTTTTTTGTCAAATAATATTTCACAGCTGGATTTTATACGTTCTAAGTGTACTTCTTCCCGACACAGTTGCTTTTTGATAGTTTTTTTTTTTAATTATCTTAAATTTAGGTTTGTAAAGTATTTTAAAAAGTTCAGATTCATATATTCAGTCACCTACAAATCATATCTGTGTACCTATCAAAAGCACCCATATTTGACCTGCTTAAAGCCAAACATTTTAGCTATTATTCCCACGTGTCCTCCTGACAACCAGTACCAAAAAGCAAACAGACAAAAATGATCCAAACCAGTTCCTCTTCTAAGTATCCCTCTTCCCATGAACAGCACCTCCATTCAGGCATCAGTAAGAAGGCTAAGATTTATTTATGCTAATGCTCTTTTACCAGCCATGTTCACCAACCACTAGGTTCTATCAGTTTTACTCCTAACCCTCTTTTGAATTTGTACCCTTCTATCCCCACCTCCCCTATTACCAAATGATCCAAAATTTCATATATTTCAAAGCATTTCACAACCATCATGGCATCTGAGCTTCACAATATATAGTATATTTTTTATAGTCCATATATGTGATATGTTTGTGTATATACACACCAATATGTAGATTTGTATATGTGTATATGATGAATATATATGATTATGTGTTTATACCTTTTGTTGTGGAAGAAGGCCAGACTTCGTCATTCATGAGATCTACAAATATGCATTTTCATTGGTCTTCCTACCCATGCTTTTGCCACTCTCTTACATAGACATCCACAATTATCTTTGTAAATCAACTCTGATGGTGTCAGCCCTTCAGACCTCACTATACCTCTTATGGTACAGATCAGAATTATTAATGTGACTCAGAACTACATTATTCACTTCAGAGGAACTAGAATATTAAAAAAATTATTTTTGTGCATTTTTTATCAGTATGTATCTTCCCACTAGTTTTACGATCGTATGCTCAATGCCCAGTACATAAACACTCATAAGTGTTTTTTAAGTAATGAATTTATCAGTAAGATGTACATTATTTCATCACATCATTTATATTATAAGCATTTTTCAATATTTTAATAACACTTCCATGGGTCATTTACCTTATTAAATTTTTCAATTGTGCAAGTAAAGCACAATTTCATCCTTGTTGTGAAAATATGAAACATTAAAGAGGTATGTATCATAAAATGAAAAAATAGGTTATATTAATCCCCATTTTACTTATTTTTCAGTGACAAACACCAATTAACAGTATATTCTTTCACATCTTTTTGTGACAGTACATATTAATGTATTCATTTCAATGATTGCTCATATTCTATAGTATACATATAATTTTATTAAATGTTTTTGCTTTTGATAGCTATTCAGGTTGCTTCCAACTTTTCTGATATTACAAACAACTCTGCAGTTTGCAGGCTGGTATTTACATATTTCAACATAAATATAAGTGCTCTGCAAAATAGATACCACATGTAAAATTTTGAGATCTAAGGACATGCACATTTTTTTGGGGGGGGGGTTCCTAATTAGCTTTTATTCAAGCCCTTAAATCTGTGAATATGTGATGTTAATGCCACTTTTCGTTTGTATTAGATTAGCATATGCAGCTGGCTTTCCAAACCGTGGTCCTATTGATAGTACTGTAGTTGTAAAACGTACATAGGATAATTTGCCTCCTTCACGGTGGGAAAATGGCAAAGAACATCTATTTACTTCGATTTTTAAAAATTCTAATATATTCAATTTATTTTAATAATAACACGCAAACTTCCTTCCTTTGACACAATTCTATTTGTAATTGCACTTTGTAATATGAAACCTTGAAAACATTTGGAGTTAATTATGTTCTTTGTAATATGAAACCTTGAAAACATTTGGAGTTAATTATGTTCAATGTTGTATTTCTGTATATGTAGTCATGATTTTTAATTGTAATGGCTTATATTCCACCATATTTAAATTTTTATATATATTACCTGTCACACTTTGCAAAAAGATGTACTAATTTAGACTCCTAGTAACAACATATAAGAGTACTTGGTTTTCCACATACATATCTTTCTGGACACAAGAAAGTATCAGCCTTTCATGTTGTCTCTTTATTTAATGCATAAAATAAATAGAGGCCCATAAGTCATAATTACCACAAAATGAACACAGCCATGTGACCACCACCAGCACTTAAAGAGAAAATATTCTTAGCCATCTAGAAGCTCTGGTGCCTCCTCCCATTCACTATTCCCTTTCTGCTCAGCAGAGGTAGACTAACTTCTTACAGCAGAGATTAGTTTGGTTTGTTTTAAAATTCTATAAAAATGCAATCATACAGTATATATTCTTTATAGTCTGGCTTCTTTAACTCAAGCTTTATTTGGTTGATCAGTTTAGCTCTTGTATGAACTTTTGTTCATTTTCATTTTTTGGTATAGAAATTATTTGTGTATGTGTCATTAATATTTTAATTTGCACTTCCCTGACTAAATGAGATTGATCTCCTTGTATCTGTTTTTTGACCATTTAGAAATGCAATTTTGTCAAGTATATGGCAAAGTCACTGGCTGTTTTCAATTAGGTCTTCCCTTTTCTTGTTAATTTGCAGTAGTTATTTGTATATTCTTAATCTGAGTTTTTTTATTCATTATATATTCTACCGATCTTACTTTGTGTTTCCCTTTTGAATATTTTTAGTTAAATAGATGTATTTAATTTTAATATAGCCTACTTTCTCAACTTTTTATATTAATAATGCTCTTAATATTCAACTTTCCCCAAGGTAATGAAGTTAATTTTCTATATCATCTCTTGAAAGTTGTATTATTTTACTTTTTACATTGACAACTTCTATCTACCTGTAATTGATTTTTTTGCCTTGTACTAAATGTAAGTCAAGTGTATAGTCAGTCTGGTTGCACCAATTGTTGAAAACGTTCAACTTTTCATACTGTTTTACCATGCCACCTTTTGATATAACTTAAGTATCTATATATTTGTAGCTCTACCTCTGAATTTTATTCCGCTGACCTACTCTGCCTATATTTGCATCAGTACTTAGAATGTTGAATTTTATCTGAGTTCTGTAGTCCTGGAAGACAGGGATAGTTAAAGGAATCATTTCATATTCTGGAAAACTGCTTACTACACAGAACCCCTCTTCCCTGTATGACTTAGTTAATACTCATAGATCTTCCTTCCCAACAGTTTGACTTGACAGCGCCGTTTGCCACATAGTTCATCCTAAATTCAGCTGGTAATTGAAATGTTCATCTGTGTTAGTTACTTGCTTTTATTCCAAGAAAAAATAAAACTTCTCATATCTCTATATCAAGAAGTAGTTACAGCATGTAGCCAGGTGCTTAGGCTAAACTCCCATGGAGACTGGGAGACAGGTATTCTGCTTTTCTGGATGCTTACATTTAAAAATGATTAATTGAAGAAAACGTAGGAAAAACATGCCTGGTTTATAAAATTGGCAAGAGCCTTATTTAGCTCTTTAAAAGATTTTACACATATCTCAAAGGGACAAAGAAAGAATTTATAAGTTCTCTAAAGGAAATAGGAGAGGGCTTCAAAATTTTGTGGATAAACAGAATGAAAGAAATAAAATTTAAACTTTATTTCTCAACATAAGCTTTGTCAGTGTCCAGTCATTTTTTGTAAGTGATCATAGCAGCCATTTAATTCATCCCTAAAGAACTGAGGGTCCTGGGAATCTAACCATGTAAATGCAGTCTTATTTACATTATTAATTGAAGAAAAATGGAATGCCCATGCTAGACATTTTAAGATTAGGAAACAAAATAAGTCAGACTGAGCCAACTCAGGACTGAAATGTAGATGCCAAATTATTTCTCACTGAAACTCTTGCAAAAATTGTCCTTGTTTTATAAGAGGAGTGAGCAGGAACATTGTCCCTGTGAGGAAGGGCTCTCTGCTGAAGAATTCCCAGAAGTTTTTCTGCTAAAACTTTGGCTAATTTTCTCAAAACACTCTCATAATAAGCAGAATGCCAACAAGCAAAATTCCTTGAGTATCCCCCAAAAAACTGTTAACATGGTCTTTGCTCGTGATTAGTCTGTTTTTGCTTTCCCTGAACTACTTCCACCTCTTGGTAGCGATTGCTTTTATTATGCTTTATCTTCAGGTTAGTACTGGCAAAGCCGTGTTTCATCTCCTGTCACATTTCTTCAAAGAAGTTCTTTAGGACCACTTATTTAAAATTTCTATTGAAAGCTGCTTTTGTCTGCAGGTGATCTGAGCGCAACAGTATTGACACCCATTGATTGGAAAGTTTGCTTTACTTAAATTTTTCAGTCAGAATGGTGAAAGCTGAACCAGTTGATATATCTGTGGTGTTGACTATTATTTGTGCTGTTCATCAGTAGTCCTCTTCAATTAGGGCATGAACACGGGGAATTTTTTCCTTACAAATTGATGTGCATGGTCTGCTGCTATGGGCTTCATCTTCAACATTATCTCATCCCTTCTTAAAATGACGTATTCATTTGTAAGCTGTTGATCTCTTTGGGGCACTGTCTTCATAAGCTTTTTGTAAAGGATCAGTGAGTTCACCATTCTTCTGCCCAAGCTTCACCATAAATTTGATATTTGTTCTTGCTTCAATTTTAGCAGAATTTATGTTGCTCTAACAGTGGCCCTTTTCAAATTGATGGGTCCGTCTCAGTCCCTCAAATTAAATCCTGTTCAGAAACGTTATAATAAGTTAATATGAGTTTATTTTTTTGCAAAAAAATTGAAAACCGCACATAGCCATTTTTCATGAGTGTTTTGAAGACCCCCTTACACTCCAAGGAAAACGAGGTGGGGGAAGTCACTTTCCCTTTTGGCACCAGGAAAATTTATTTCTTTTACATCTATCCTTATCCCTGTAGTTTCTCCTTTTTGTTGTTATTAACAGTGTATAGTAACAAAGGCCAGACACACTTCCCTTCTTCCAAATTCTCATTCCTCATTTCATAAATGGCTAGCTGAACTGTTTATTCCCATGCATCCATCAGAACAAGCAATTGACCTGATTTGACCAAACTTCAAGCTTCTCTCCTCCTTATAGGAACCTGAACATTGAACTACTCTCAACTTGAACCAATATTGTCACGTATAGCGGCTCCTCCTTAACACAAAGATAATCTCTGAAACTTGCTTTCTTCTCCCTATGAATAAAATGACTTTTCTGTCTGACCTTTCAGATGTTTGCAGATCTCCTTAAACTTTCTTTCTATTGCAATAATTTTTTCAAATAATATCTTTACATGCCTAAATTCAGGATTTTTTAAAAAATTATACAATACTATGCTTTAGTAGTATAATATTAAATGTATTTAAAATACATTTAGAATTTATAATACATCTTAAAACCTGGTAGAGTAAATGTTTCCACTTTGTTAACATCCCATCTTTTTTTGGTAAATCTTTCCTAAGGAAATAATTCAAAACATGTAAAATAAGTCACATGTTTTGACATTTATAAAAATTAAAACTTCTTGCATAAATTATTATTTATATATTGAGTTGGAATATTGAGCTGCTCCTAATATGAATGATGAGTTTAGATGATGATGATTCAAGAACTACAACCATTTCAATCAATAATTCCTTGAATTGTGAAATGTAAAGGAAAGGAAAGGTAGGGGACTATTGTCTAAAATCACACTAAAAAAACAATTCAGCAATTAGAAATACAGAAATTTTGAAAAGTTCCTGGAAGATAAAAAGGAGATGAGATTGAATTCACAGAAATACAAGAACAGAGGACATCAAAGTTCAAATTATTTTCAGGATAAATTGATAGAAATATGCAACCTGTTGCAAAGTGGCTGTAGAGATAGGATCACCTTGGCTAATAAATTCGGATATCAGGTAAAAGGGCTTGTAAAAATAATTAATTGAAAAAATATTCAAGACAGCTTGGATAAATATCAATTGTATTCCACATTCCCCCAACTGAACTGTTAGTAGTGAAATTAATCTCCTACTTGAAGTGCTAATTATAGTAGGAATTCTGGCACAAAGAACTCAAGAGGAGATTGGAACAGGTGAAGCAAAATAAATTATGATCTGTTTACTCCTGCACCCCATCAAAGGAATGGGGAGCTCTCAGACTCAGAAGTTAAATTATCTGTAAACTCCTTGTAATCCTACACTCTACATCTTCTTCCAGACAACAAAGGGAAGCTTCCTTCTGTAATTAGAGCCTGTATACACATTCAAAGTAGACATTGTTAAATTGTGATTGAAAGAAATGTAGAAAGCATGAATTTCTGAAATGTGATAGTGTCTCTTTGTACTTACCTTGTAGGTGTACTATATTCTCTCAAGATGTCCTTTCGGCATAGAAGATGGGAAGAAAAGGTTTGGGATTGAAAGACTGCTAACATCTAACACGTATTCATCAGCCTATCCACTCCACGATGTATGTATAGTTTGATTGTGAAATTCTGAGCCGATTTTCCTCCTACTATGTTCATTATTGGGAGAGGGAATCTTCCTTTACTTCAAATTACTTAGTTTTCTCTTATGGTAGGAAAATCCCCAAAGACTTCCTGATTCCAAGCTGAGAGGTTTACCAGTTATGCTGAGTTATATAGGAAATGTGTCTTTAAAGTTTCAAATGGACATTTATTTTAAAAACTTTTACATGTGCACATGACTTTTTATTAGAACCCGTTTTGAAAATAGCAGTAACATTAAAAGAACATTTTAGAACATAATATTTGGAAATTTCTATCTGAGCCCATTAGCTCTTTTCTCATTTATAAAATTTTGAAGCTGTAAATAATTTAAATTACATGCCATATTCATTCATCTAATGCATGATTGGTTTCAATTATATGTAAACATTCTGTTAGGCATTATTGGAACACAACCACGAATCCAAGTTCACAGACTAGGGCTCTCATAGAAATAAAGCATGTGTACAACTGCAATACAAACTAAAGGCTTCGGTGCATAAGAATATTTCAGATGTTGGACGGGCGTGGTGGCTCATGCCTGTAATCCCAGCACTTTGGGAGGCCGAGGCGGGTGGATCACGAGGTCAAGAGATCGAGACCATCCTGATCAACATGGTGAAACCCCATCTCTACTAAAAATATAAAAAAATTAGCTGGGCATGGTGGCGTGTGCCTGTAATCCCAGCTACTCAGGAGGCTGAGGCAGGAGAATTGCCTGAATCCAGGAGGCGGAGGTTGCGGTGAGCCAAGACCGTGCCATTGCACTCCAGCCTGGGTAACAAGAGCGAAACTCCGACTCAAAAAAAAAAAAAAAAAAGAATGTTTCAGATGTTATAACAACTGATATTCAGAAGAATTTTGGGGGGGGGGAGGTTGGCAATCACTGTACAAAAACATTGAGTTGTGTAAGTTTAACAGAGAAGTCACATTTTACAAGATGCACCTGTTGAATCAAACCTGAAAACTTGGCCTTAGAACCAAGAGACTCAGCCTAGTTTCTGGGTGTTTTTGAGGGAAACATTCCCATCTGAATAGCCAGTGTTTAAATTTCACCACCTATTGGCAGTGGAAATCCTGCAGCTGAATGTGTATATGTTCTAATGTGAGATTGTCCCTTGGAACTTCTATTTTTATCGTTTCTTCTGTTACGGTTTTACTCTTCCATACTTATAAAAGACGTTTTGATGATGTGTTCTCTTTGCAAGAAATATAGTTCTCAGGAATACAGAAGAAACGAATATTTCCACTGAAACAAGTGGCAGCTAAGTAATTCCTCATTTTTTTCAAAACAGTGTTGCTGTAATAGTTTCCAAAAGCCCAAAGCCTGCTCTTCCTTGTAAACTATACATGTAGCCTTTCAGTAGAGTTATATAGACTCATTGGAAATTCAGTTTTACTGACTGAGCTATCATTAGAGACAGCTATAACTTACTGTTCATTTTACTTTTTTATCTTTCTTTTCTTCTGAATGCAATATTAGGTACTGGATTTTCCCTTATATGCTTTGCAGGATAATTTTTCAAAATACCCACATAGGCTGCTTTTTTTTGTTGTTTAATTTCTTAAGATTCAGTTGGATTAGCTACAGAAGAAGAAAAAGTTCGAATCTGGGTGATATAAAATTTAACACCTTATTATCTAAAGGTTTTCACACGTGCTAAATTTTAAACTGGATATTTATTCAGTGCTTCCTTCAGCAGTTCATTTGTCTACAGTAAAAACAGAATGTCTTAAACAACCACAGTGTCCACAATACTTTGCTAGTCCATGAAAAGATATTAATAATATTAATCAGTGTCTAACCATGGGAGAAGAACTTATGTATGAAGCAATACTGAGCCTCTTAAATGCTGAAGTTTGTTGTATTATTTTAAGTTCTTTGGGAAATGGCTATCAGTGTGGACAGAACAGGAGTCTCTTTCTGTATTAGCAATATCACTTTGGATTAGTTATTTAACATTGCTTGAAATTTAATTTTCTCATCTGTAAAAAAGTACTAGCCCATTTCTAAAGTCCTATCCAGTTATATAGTGATATGTCTCTCTGGGCCGTGAATATTATATTAGGGTTTCAGTAGAGACGAAAGGGCATTCCAGGTGAAGGAACAGCTTGAGTAAAGCCAAAGTCCTACACGTGTATTTGGAGATAGCTGTATGTGAGAATTTGATAAACAAATATTATTATAGTTTGTGAAATAATTTTACATCAATTGAATATGAAATGTAAAAGTATAAGAAAAGAGCCTTGTTTACTAACCTTCTTAGGAAAACAGTGTTTATTTACTTTACCTTTGTCTTTTGCTTCATCTTTTATGTACCCCCATCTCTGAATATCTGCAGGGCCAATATTGGAAGCCATCAGAACCTCCCAATCCTGCTAATGAAAGATACATACTTCGCAAGAATTGGGCTCGATTTTCCTATTTCTACAAGGAGCAGCCTTTAGATTTGATTAAGTAAGTTTCATACGTAGGATCAAACCAATTAAAACTTGATAACGTGATTTTTATTCACAATGGCATCATATTCTGTTAATTTTACTACTATTTTCACCCACTGTTTTACTACATTTCACAGCTTCTTGGTTTCATATCTACACTATCAATTAATAATTCATTTAGGAGAATGTCGTTGCCAAATTGACGAAAGATAACAGAGATAGTATGGTTGTTAAGAGGTTAAACCTTAGCGTCTAGCTAGGCTGAATTCCAGTCCAAGTTCTGCCTCTTGAAAGCTATATAAATTTGGTCAAGTTACTTAACCATTATGAAAATGGGAATAACACTATTACTACTTTTTAGCATAGTAGTAGTAATATCTACACTATCTGTAAAAAGGGATTAGCAATATTACTACTTTTTAGCATAGGAACTAGCACTTAGTGTTTAATACATATTAGTTTTCTCCTGGAGTCCAGAAATTTGGAACATAAGATAAAGGTTGTGTATGGATGTTTGTGTGTGTGTGCTCTCAGTGAGCTGTGAAGACATGTGTTCTATGACCTCAATCCTTTGGATAGTTTCATTAGCTAAGCAAGAAGACTATGGTTCCAGGTTATTGCTTTAAATCATAGCAGTACTACAGGCGTACAATATATTAGGAGACTTCTGCTATGATTTTATCAAATGAACTATTAGATTAGATATCTCTTGCCACTATAGGCAGTGTTTTTTACTCGATGATTTATACTTTCATTGCTGTGCTTACATAGCATCACAGCATCTGTTTCATGACACTGGTTTGAATGCGTCCATCCAAATCAATTGAAATGTTGTCTCAAGAGTATGTTTAAGTCAAATTAGAGGGCAAATTTTGAAAAATAAATGTTGCCTAGTCAGTTTACAAACTGGCGCTTTTGGTAAATCATGCAAACTCTTTCTTGAATGGCTATTTAAACTGTTTTGAATAATAATTACTTAATACTTTAAGTTATAAAACTAGGATATTTGTCAAAAACATTTAAAATAATTAAGAGATGTACAAAGTTTTAAATGAAATTCTACTTTCATCAAACTCCACAAAAATAGCTAGGCTTGATTTGGGTAATATTGATTTAGTCCTAATTTTGTGTTCATGCATAAAAAAGCATAGAAGCATTTTTTTTTCTTAGAGCAATGGGATCTTTATCTTCTCTTTTGTGCTAAGATTTTTCTTTTTTTCTTTATTCACTAAATAGTATGTTACTGATACCCTTCTATGAATACCCAAATATCTTTCTGATACTATTTAGTGAAACACAGAATGCCTTATTATGAATTTTTCATAATTCATTTATTGGTTTTTCTATTGAAAAACATTAGTCTGTCCCAATTTTTAAATATAATTTCAACTTTTTTTTTTTTTTTTTTTTTTTGAGACGGAGTTTCGCTCTTGTTACCCAGGCTGGAGTGCAATGGCGCGATCTCCGCTCACCGCAACCTCCGCCTCCCGGGTTCAGGCAATTCTCCTGCCCCAGCCTCCTGAGTCGCTGGGATTACAGGCACGCGCCACCATGCCCAGCTAATTTTTTTTTTTTGTATTTTTAGTAGAGACGGGGTTTCACCGTGTTGACCAGGATGGTCTCGATCTCTTGACCTCGTGATCCACCCGCCTCGGCCTCCCACAGTGCCGGGATTACAGGCTTGAGCCACCGCGCCCGGCCAATTTCAACATTTTATTTTAGATTCGGGGAGGTGGTATACATGCATATTTTTACATGGGTATATTGCATGATGCTGAGGTTTGGGGTGCAGATCTTGTCACCCAAGTAGTGAGCATAGGTAGTAGTAAAGACAGGTAGTTTTTTAACCCACGTCCGTCTCCCACCTTACCTCCTCTAGTAGTCACCAGTGTCTATTGTTGTCATCCTTATGTCTATTTGTACTTAATAGTTAGCTCCCACTTACAAGTGAGAAAATGCAACTTTTGGTTTTCTGCTCTTGTGTTAATTTGCTTAGGATAATCACCTTCAGCTGCGTTCATGTTGTTGCAAAGGACATAATTTTATTTTTTTTTATGGTTGTGTAGTATTCCTTGGTATATATGTACCACATTTTCTTTATCTCCACCATTAATGGGCACCTAGGTTGATACCATGTCTTTGCTAATGTGAATAGTGCTGCAATGGTCCTATGGGCGCATACATCTTTTTGGTAGATCAATTTATATTGTTTTGAGTATATACCCAGTAATTAGATTGTTGGGTCAAATGGTAGCTCTGTTTTAAGTTCTTTGCAGAAGCTGCAAACTGCTTTCCACAGTGGCTGAAAAAATTTTCATTCCCATCAACAATGTACAAATTCTCTCTTTTCTCCAAGATCTCACCAGCATCTGATATTTCTTGACTTCTCTTAGGAACAGCCATTCTGACTGGTATGAGATGGTGTCTAACTGTGGTTTGATTTGCATTTCTGTGGATTAGTGACAATTAGCATTTTTTCATATGTTTGTTGGCTACCTGTATGTCATTTGAGAAGTGTCTGTTCATGTCCTTTGCCAGATTTTTAATGAGGTTATTTAGATATTGCTTGTTGACTCACTGGAGTTCCTCATAGATTCCAGATATTAGACCTTTATTCAATGTGTAGTTTGTGAATATTTTGTCCTATTCTGGAGATTGTCTGTTTATTCTATTGATAGTTTATTTTGTTGTGCAGAAGTTCTTTAGTTTAATTAGGTCCCACTTGTCAAATTTTTTGGTTATTGCAATTACTTTTGGTGACTTAGCCAAAAATTTTTTAGAGAAAGGTATTTCTTAGGTTTTCTTCTAAGATTTTTGTAGTTTGAGGTCTTGCATTTAAAACTTTATTTCATCTTGAGTTAATTTTTCTGTATAGTGAAAGGGTCCAAGTTTCACTATTCTGTATATTACTAGTTAGTTATCTCAGCACCATTTATTGAATATGGAATCCGCTCACCATTGCTTGTTTTTGTCAGCTTTGTTGAAGACTAGTTGGTTGGAGGTGGGCAGCTCCATTTCTGGTTTCTTTGTTTAGTTTTGTCAGTCTATGTGTCTGTTTCTGTACCAATACAATGCTGTTTTGCTTACTGTAGCTGCATAGCATAGTTTGAAGCCAGGTAGCATGATGCTTTCAGTTCTGTTCTTTTTGCTTTGGATTGCTTTGCCTATTTGGGCATTTTTAGGTCCTGTGCAAAAGTTAGAATAGCTTTCTCTAATTCTGTGAAAAAATGTCATTGGTAGTTTGATAGGAATAACATTGTATTTATAAATTACTTTAGGCAGTATGACCATTTTAATGATACTGATTCTTCCAATGCATGAGCATGGAATGTTGTTCCATTTGTTTGTGTCATCTCTGATTTCTTTCATCAGTGTTTTGTAGTTTTCCTTGTAGAGACCCTTTGCCTCGTGGATTAGCTATATCTCTAGATATTTTATTTTTTTGTGTGGCTATTGTAAATGGGACTGTGTTCTTGATTTGACTCTCAGCTTGAACATTATTGGCATATACTTATTTTTGTTCTTTGATTTTGGGTCCTGAAACTTTACTGAAGTCTCTTATCTGTCATTTCTGAGGTCTAGGAGACTTTTGGTAGAGTCTTTAGGGTTTTCTAGGCATAGCATTATTTGTCAGCAAAGAATTATAAAGTTTTTCATCTTCTTTTCCTATTTGGATGCCTTTTATTTCTTTCGCTTGCCTGATTCTTAGTTAGTACTAGGTTAAATAGGAGTGGTAAGAGTGGTCATCTTTATCTTATTTCATTTCTCAAGGGGAATGATTACAGCTTTTGCCCATTCAGTATGATGTTGGCTGTGGGTTTATCATAGATGGCTCTTATTATTTTGAGATATGTTATTTCAATACGAAGACTATGGAGGATTTTAATCATGAATGGAAAGGGATGCTGAATTTTATCAAAAGCTTTTTCTCCATTTATTGAGATGATCATATATTAATAGTATTTCCTCTTAATTCTGTTTATGTGGTGAATCATATTTACTTATTTGCACTTGTTGAATCAGCTTTGAATCTCAGGAATAATGCCAGTTTGATCGTGATGTGTTAACTTTTTGATGTGCTCCTGGATTTTGTTTACCAGCATTTTGTTGAGGATTTTTGTGTCTATATTCATCAGGGATATTGACCTGACATTGTCTTTTTTTGTTGTTTTGTCTCTATCAGACTTTGGTATCAGGCTGATGCTGGTTTCATAGAATGAGTTATGAAGAAGACTTTCCTTTTTGAGTTTTTGGAATAGTTTCAGCAGGGTTGTTACCAGTTCTTTGTATGTCTGCTAGTATTTGGCTGTCAATCCATCTGGTCTAGGGATTTTTTGGTTGGTAGATTTTTAAATTGTTGATTCAATTTTAAAACTTATAATGGTCTCTTCAGGTTTTTACTTTCTTCCTGGTTTAATCTTGAGAGCTTTTGTGTTTCCAGGAATTATTCATTTCCTCAAGATTTTTGAATTTATGTTCATAGAAATTTTCGTAATAGTATTAGAGGATCTTTTGTATTTCTATAGGTTTAGTTATAATATCATTGTTGTCATTTCTCATTGGACTTATTTGGATCTTTTTTTCTTTATTAATCTACCTAGTGGTCTATCAATCTTGTTTATTTTTGTGAAGAACCAATTCTTGGTTTCATTGATCTTGTGTATAGATTTTTACATCTCAACTTAGTTCTTTTAAAATTTTAGTTTTTCCTTCTGCTAGCTTTGAAGTTAGTTTGTTTTTATTCTCTAGTTCCTATAGGTGCAATTTTAGATTGTTATTTTGAGGTCTTTCTAACTTCTTAATTGAGACATATTAGAGCTATAAACTTTCCTCTTAGTACTGTTTTAACAGCATCCCAAAATTTTGGCAAGTTGTACCCTATTTTTATTAATTTCAAAGAATTATTTGATAACAGGAGTTATTCAGGAGCAAGTTGTTTAATTTCCATGTATTCGTATAAATTTGAGACATCTTGATATTTATTTCTGTTTTTAAAGCACTGTGGTCTGTCTGAAT